CATAAAATAAGACTTTTTTGTTTCTATTTTGATAACAAGTACCGTATAAACATTGTGATATACATTTTAAAAAAAATTCTACTATATGCGGTAAAAATAGACCAGTTACACTCAGGCAACTTTGGTTTTTTTTCCAAAATTTATTGAGTTTTTCCTTTTCGTTTCCATGCATATTTTCAGCAATTTTCACCGTGATCATTCAGCGAAACAAATAAGCATCAAAAAAAATAAAACCAACTGACTAATTTGAACACGTTTTGGAAGATAAAAATGAGAAATGTGAAGAAAAAAAGAAAAAAAAGTTTTTTTTTGGTTCATGAATTTCAGTTTTCCTTACACTTTTCAAACACCATATTTTGAATCAACAGATTAGTGTGATGATAAAAGTTTTAAAACAAGTGAAAAAAAAATTTGTCAGTGAACAGCTATGTGTCTCATCTTCGCTGCAACTTTTTTTTCCACTTTTTCTTTCGAAGAATTTTAGTGACAACTGTTATTCACTTTTGTTCCTTTTTTTTCTGCTTTTACTTTTCGCTATTGTTTCTGCATTTCCTCCTTGTTCCTTTCATCTCTTTGTCCCAAAATAAACAAAAATGAAAGAAAAAAAATAGTGGTACAAAAAAACGGATAAAATTTAGAATAGATTTTTCCTCTTCTTTTTTTGACTGATAGTAACAAATAATTGCATAAACAGAAAAGAATTTTACAAATAAAAAAAAGAACAAAAAAAAAACGAGAAGCAAAAGAAAACAAAAAAAAAAACAAAATTTTTTTTTTGCAAAAGCAATCAAAAGCATAACTGCTTCAAACTTATTTTATCCTATTTTCTCAGTTCTTTTGTGCTCGTTTTTATCATTGTTGTTATTGGAGTACTTCTGAAGTGATGTGTTGTGAACAGAAATTAAGACAGAAGATTTTGGAAGAAAAAGAGCTAAATAATTTTTGTAGAAAGCAAAAAAAACGCTGAACTGCTTTAAAAATTTTTTTTTTTAAGTGCTTCTCTATCGTTCTTTTTTTGCTTCCTCTTCCTCTTCCTCTTCCTCTCCTTCACCCTCCCGCCTATTTCTCCTCTCCCTTGCCCCCCTTCCCTTTTTTTTTCCTGCTACCACGTTCTCTTTCCACTCCCTTCCCCGCTACCATTCTGTTGTCGCTTCATCCTGGAAATATCTTTTAGCCGACCAACTTTTTTTCTAAAACCCAAACATTTAATATACGGTTTTGCAACAGCGTAAAAGAGGAAAAGAAAACAGAAACTGTTTCGTTTTGCCAACCGAAAGCCAATCAGCTTACTTGAGAAAAAAGGGCCCCAAAAATTAAAGAACCTTAACTCTGAGACACACTCAACAGCAATTACTGTCAACTTGAACAATGTTTTAAAGTGTCGATGATGATGAAGGAAAACGACCCATCTAAAGGACCAAAACGCCCAAATGTCTCGTCAACAACTAAGGCGACCACCGGTGCCGCGATCACATTGATGGCGGCAACAACGGCAGTCGCACTGCCGCCGTCAGTTCAGAGGAAACTGTGTAAGCAGCAAAAAAAAAAAAACAAGTTTTTTCTTCGCTTTACTTTTTCTGCTTGCTTAGATTGAATCGTTGAATGGAAGGAAAAAAACCCTTGGCTTTTGGTAGTAGCCATGTAAACATTTTTGGTTTACAGAAACTTTTAGCCTTACCCAAAAACTTGCGTATTATTGGCTTTGAAAGCCGTTGACAACGACGACAACCGCAGTACACATTTAGAGTGTAAATTTCAAAAAGCTGATTAAAAATTTTTTCCTTCAACCTTAGAAAAATGTTTATTCACAAAACAAAACAAAACAAAACTCCATCAATAAA